AGAAAAAAAGCAATAATTTGGACTTAAAGACATTTGCTCTTTGTATTAACTTTTCCATGCTATATAATAATTAGTGGCTTAAAACAACATATACTTATTATTCCACAATTTCTGTGAGTCAAAAATTAGAGCATAGCTCAGTTGGGTTCTCTGCTTAAGGTCTTATGAGGCTGAGGTGTCAGCCAGGGTTGAGTTCTCACTGAGATTCAACTAGAGAAGGTCCATTTCACCACTTGCGTGATCTTGGCAGTATCCTGTACCTGGAAGCTCTAGGATTCATGGTAGCTTGCTTCTTCAAAGCCAGGAAGGAGAAAGAGAGAGAAAGACTCTGGCAGGAGAAAGAGAGACTCTAGCAAGATAGATGCTATGCTATTTAATTGGATACATGAAACGAACTTTGCCACATTCCATTGGTTAAAGGGAATTCATAGATCCCACCATATTTAAGGGGAAGGTTACACCAAAACAATAATACCCAGAGGCAGGGGTTATGAGGACGATCTTAAATTCTGTCCACCACACTCTTCTAAAGACATCAGCAAGAAAATATTTATTAAAAAAAAAAACTACGTCCATGCCACCCCGAACAAGCCCGATCTCGTCTGATCTCGGAAGCTAAGCAGGGTTGGGCCTGGTTAGTACTTGGATGGGAGACCACCTAGGAAGATCAGGTGCTGTAGGCATAAAAAAATAAAAATAAAAAATAAGGGATTGTAAGCTGATAAGATCCTTGCAATCTGTGAGGTCAGCCAAGGGTTGCCTCACCTAAAAAACAAAACGAAACAAAACAAAAAAAAGCCACTAACTTGGAGAAAATATTTGCAAATTATACATCTCAAGGGTGGCCTATGGCCTATTTTTGTAAGATCTATGAGCTAAGAATGGCTTTTATATTTTTAAGTTGTTAAAAAAATATGCAAAAGAGATTCTATGTGACCCCCCAAACATAAAATATTTACTGTCCATTTATAAAAAAAGTGTGCTAACTTCTGACAGATTTGCTAAAGGCCTTATATTTAGAATATATAAAGCACTTATACAACTCAGTAATAAGAAGACAAACCACTTAAAAAAGGGTATTTTAGGCAACATGCTACCTCCCCGCCCCCCCCCACCATGCAACTTCCATACTCTAATCCCCCAAATCTCAGAATATATTATATTACATGGCATAAGGAATTTTGCTGATATAATTAAGGTAACACATTTGAAAATGAGGATATTATCCTAGATTATCTGAGTGGTCCCAATCTATCATACTAGCTCTTAAAAGCTAGAGACAAAGAGATGAGCTAGAAAGAGAAGATAGAGTCAGAGAGATTCAAAGTGTGAGAGGGAAGCAATTCTCTCTTGCTGGAAGGGGCCACGAAGAAAGAGAAGGAATTCGGGTAGCATTTAGAAGCAAAGACTAGTCCCTGGGTGACAGCTAGCAAGGAAACAGAGACCTTGGTCCTACAGCCACAAGGAACTGAATTTGGCCGACAACCTGAGTGAGCTTGAAAGAGGATTCTTTCCCAGAGCATCTAGTAAGTAATACGTCCTGCTGATACTGTATTTTCAGTCTTGTGAGACCCTAAGCGGAAAACCCAGCTGAGCCCAACTGGACTTCTCACCTACAGAAACTGTAAGATAATAAAAATATATTACTTTAAGCAGCCACATTTGTGGTAATCTGTTATGGCAGCAATAAAAAATTAATACAGTGGGTAACAGATTTGCATAAAAATTTCATCAAAGAAATCATGGACTAATAAGCCCAGGTAAAGATGCTCAAAATAATTAGTTATCAGAGAAATGAGAATTAAAGTGAGATGCTGCTATACACTGACTAAAATGGCTTTAAACAAAAAAAAGACTGACAATTTCAAGTGTAGGTGACAATATGAAATTACTAAAACTCTCATACATTGCTTGGGTGAATGTAAAATAAGACAGCTACATTGAAAAACAGGTTAGCTGTTTCTTCAGAAGTTACACATAAGCTTACTCTACAACTCAGCAATTCCATGCCAAGGTATTTATCCGAAGGAAATGAAAACATACATCCACACAAAGACTTGTACACATATATTCATTCAAGCAGCATTATTTATAGTAGCCCAAAGTGGAAACAATCCAAATATCCATCAACTGGTGAGTGGATTAACAAAGTGTTGTATATCCATAAAATAGAATACTATTCATCAATAAAAAGGAACAAACTACAGATACATGGTACAACATAATGAATCTCAAAATATTATGCTAAGTGAAAGAAGCCAGACACAAAAGGCTAAATATTGCATGATTCCATTTGTATGAAGTTTCCAGAAAAGGCAAATTTATAGAGACAGAAAACAGATGAGTGGTTGCCCGGGGCTGGGAGCAAAAGCAGGGACTGACTGCAAACAGACACACGGGAGTTTTCTGGACGGATGGAAAGGTTCCAAAGCTAGATTGTAATGATAGTTGCACAACTCTATAAATTTACTAAAATTCACTGAATTGTAATGATGAGTGCACATTATTGTGTGTAAATTGTACCTCAATACAAAAAGGATGGTAATAATTAACTTTGGCAAAAAAATAAGAAAGGAGATATAATCATAGTATAGTGTTCAGCTATGAGTAATATTAACATAGACATCACTGGATATTGATTTAATCTAAAAAATGAGTACAACTGCATTGAAATCATGGAGCAGAGAAAGCAGAGGAGATGGGAGTATAAGAATAAAATGCTCGGCTACCATCATAGGGAGTAATTAGATTATGCCCCAAATTGATATATCTAAACATAGCAAAATACACATATTATTTAAACATATATAGTTAAGTAAATGCCAACAAGAAACAGATGAAAAAGCCAAAGTGATTGCCTCTAAAATCACCAAGGAAGAACTAGGAAAGAATGAATAGGGGAATTGATAATTTTTTTTTGTTATAAGCCTTATTGTTTGACTTTTGAAAACATTATTTATAATGAAAATAAGAAAGAATTTAAACCAGATACACAAGCTTTCTTTTTTTTCCTCTTCTATTTTCTATTTCTTTCATTTTTCATCTTTCTGGGAGATTTCCTAAATTTTATGTCCTAGTAAATCTATTGTTTGTTTGTTTTTTAGAATTATGCTCTCTTATTTTAAATTCCATGACTATTCTTTTGTTCCATGAATGTTCCTTTTTATAGTGTCTTATTTATAGCGTCTTCTGTCTCTAGAATTGAGTTTTTCTCAAACTTTCTTTCCCCTGCAGTCTCTGTTTCCTCCAAGTTGTTTCTTTCTGTTTGCTTGATCTCAGTTATTCCTGTTATAGGTTTTCTCAGCCGTCTGGGAATCTTGGTAGCCCACTTTAGTTTAAGAATGTTAGATTAATACAAATCTCCAAAGAATAAATTACTGGATTTCTGTCAGGTGCCTGGGGAGAATTTGCCCAGCTTCACAGAATAGAAGAGGGGAACTGGTCTCTAGTTGCTTCTTAAACCG